AACGCAGACTGTAATCAGCACCATCTCCTCCAAAATCTTCCTATGACTCCTGCTATATAGTCCAATATTTATATTTTTAGAACATGTTAAATTAAGATAATTAATTCTAGCATGTAATATAATAATTTGTAACTCATAACATGATATTATCTAACGTCTAATTTATAGCATAATGAAGTCTAACATGTAACACAATAATTTGTAACTCCTAACACGATCACGATAATATCTAACGTCCAATTTATAATATAATCAACTATAACATGTAACATAATAATTTGGTACTCCTAACACGATACCATCTAACGTCAATTTATAACATAACCAAGACTAACATGTAATATAATAATTTCTAACTCGTAACACGATAATATCTAACGTCCAATTTATATTACAATCAACATGTAACATAATAATTTGTAACTCCTAACACGATAAACGTCCAATTTATAGCATAATCAAGTCTAAAATGTAACATAATAATTTATAACATAATAATATAGTTCAATTTATAACATAATTACGAATATATAACATAAAAATTTAAAAAAAAATAAAAAAAAAATTGTCCGGCCGGTCGAACCGGACGGACCGGTTCCGACCGGCCGTCGTTTTCGGACGGCTTTTAACCCGTCCAAAAAGTTCGGCCAGACGGCTTATAAACTGTCCAGTTCCGGCCGGGCTAAAAGCCGTCCGGTTCCGGCGGCCGGACACAAAAATTTTCGTACCTCCGAATTTGACGACATTTCACCGTACATTTTCCTCTGAGATGTTTAGAAAAAATGAAAAGGGCAAAATCGTCCTAGGGGGGCGGTGAGTAGTAAAATAGGGGGCGGTAAATAGTACCACCCTATTACAATACAGGATTGGTCTACTGTATAGAGTGCAGGATTTTATTTTTTATTTTTTTTTATCAAACGATCAAATCATATCAATACCTTAATGTACAAACCGTAATCAACGTATTGCAATACAAACAAGTATGTAAAAGACTCTCGACCGATTGGAATCGACTTGATCTGCCTTCCTCGCCGGCGAATGACCTTGAAGATCTATAAAACTCAATATCGGAGAGATTTTTCGGTGAAAAAGCGTAAGAGTTGATGAACAGTATATTTTCAGTAGTAAAAAGTGTCAAGAAGAAAGACTTAACCTACCATACTTTTTTATATATGGGTGTAGTGTCTTGTTCCCGATGCTTGCCCGAAGAGTTGATCTACCTGCCCCAACTGCCCGTCTGTACGACCTGCACTACCCCAAGCGCCAAACTTGTCAGATGGTCAGACAGCCCAATCCTGTGGCGACACGTGGTCCAATCCTTGAACAACGCTCTTCCCGAGTTAGATGCCTTTTTGTTCGTCTATCTTCTTTATCAGACAGTCTTACTATGAGACCAGCTCCACGTCGCCGGGTAGAACACTTTCCTCGCCTAGCTCACCCCCTAAGGATGGAGGTCAATGATTCAACAGGTTGAGGATCCCTCGGTGATGTAGAGCATTGTACAATTGGGAAGAATATGAGATACTCTCTGGAAAGAACGAACGACAATTTTATTTCAATTCACAATAATCTGCCACCTCCATTGTTCATACATCAGATAAATAAGAAAGGGAAAAATAGAAAAACCTAATCTTGCCCAACCACTGCAAGATATTTATTTTCCTATCAAATTTACTAAATAGCTAAAGGAAATAAAATAAAGGAGTACTAATAATAATGAGAAATAAGTAGACTAAACCCGGAGTCGGTTATATTTATTCAAATACGCGATGGCGGTCTCGTCTTCATCATCCTCCCCAGTTGAGGAGGATTCGTCCTCGAATCCGAACCGGTTCGTCTTCGTCAGAATTGCCCCAACAAATGGCACCAAATGTTTGACGTTGAAAACGTCAGACGTACGAATATGGGATGGAAGACGGAGACGATAAGAATTAGGGTTGATCTTCTCAACCATCTCGACTGGTCTAATCTTGCGTGCCGCCAATTTGTCATACTCGTGGGCCATGAATCTGTCCTTCGTCAAGACGGTCCAAACATAATCACCAACTGCAAACTCCACGTGGCGGCGACGAAGATCTGCCCGACGCTTGTAAGCCACGATGGTGGCCTCCAACCGGGCCCGAGCTGTATCGTGCGTAGCCTTCAAATCGGCAATAAGGTCAGTGGCACGCCGATCAACCGCGTCCGTGTGTGGTAAAGCCAATGAATCGGATGGCCCACGGGGGCGAACTGCATAGACTGTCCCAAACGGGGATAATCCGTGGCTCGACTGACAGCCGAGTTATGAGCAAATTTGGCCTGACTCAACCGCTGGTCCCAACTGCGAAGATTATCGCCCACCAAGCAACAAAGCAGGTTGCCCAAAAATTGATTCACGACCTCTGTCTGGCCGTCTGTCTGGGGATGGTAAGCACTACTGAAATCCAACGGAGTATTCGCCATGCGCCACAAGCTACGGCAGAAGTGACTAAGAAATCGAGTGTCGCGATCCGACACAATCGACGACGGAAGGCCATGGAGACGGTAAACCTCACGAAAGAACAACTGAGCCACATGAAGCGCATCAGTGGTACGCTTGCACGGAATAAAGTGCACCATCTTCGAGAATCTGTCCACGACCACAAACATGGAGTCGAAACCTCGCTGAGTACGCGGCAATCCCAGCACGAAATCCATGCTAACCGCACTCCATGGCCGTGAGGGAATAGGAAGGGGATGGAATAACCCGACATTCGACGCAACCCCCTTCGAGACATGGCAAACACGACACTGGTCCAAAAACCGGCCCACGTCTCGCCAACGGGACGGCCAAAAATGGGACGGAGCAACCAGATCAACCAAACGGTCACGCCCTACGTGCCCGGCGCCATGCAGATCCGCAATGAGCTTCAGTCGAAGGCTACAATCCGAAATACACAACCAAAAACTTCGAAATAGGAACCCGTTGGATAAGGCGTAGTCCTCGACAGGACCATCCGCAAGACGGCGCACAATCATCCCAAAGAATGAATCATCGGCATACAACTCACGTAAGACATCAAATCCAATGACAGAACCTCGCATATCCGTCAATAAAAGGGCTCGTCGGCTCAAGGCATCTGCCAACCGGTTTGAAACGCCCTAACGATGCCGAAGAACAAAGGTGAACTGTTGTATAAAAGCCGTCCGCGAGGCATGACGAGCCGAAATATTATCCTATGATGCCAGATGGCGCAAAGCCTCGTGGTCTGTATACAGGATGAACTCGCGATGAAAGAGATAATGTCGCAAATGCTGGACCGCGCGAACCACGACGTAGAACTCCACATCATACGTACTGTAACGGGTCCGCGGTCCAGACAACTTCTCGCTAAAAAACGAGACCGAACGACCATCCTGACTGAGAACAGCGCCAATCCCCACCTTCGAAGCGTCACGAAAGCTCAAACGGCTTCAAAAAATCTGGCATTACGAGCAGTGGGGCGGAGGTCAACTTGCTCTTAATCAGAACAAATGCAGCCTCGGCCTCTGAAGTCCACACAAAAGATTTCCCTGTAAGGCAATCAGTAATCGGGGCTGTAATCGTACTAAAGTGGGAAATGAAACAGTGGTAGAAGGAAGTAAGACCATGAAAGCTCCGGGCCTCCGTGAAAGTCGTCGGAGACGGCCAATCACAAATGGTGGCCAAATTACCCTCGTCGACATGAATCCCCACTGCCGAGATCACAAACCCTAGAAACAAAACATAATCGACCAAGAAAAAACACTTACGAGTAGCAGCAAAAAAGGACTCAGCACGCAACACCAGTAGGACCTCCCGCACATGCTGTAAGTGTTCTTCCATCGTTCGGCTGTAGATAAGAATATCGTCAAAATAAACGACAACACTCTTGCCGATAAAGTCCCGTAGGGCCTGGTTCATCACTCGCATAAAAGTACTGGGGGCATTGGACAAACCGAATGGCATCACCATCCACTTGAAAAGCCCCTCTCGAATCTTGAATGTCGTCTTCCACTCGTCTCCTGGTCAAATCCGAATCTGGTGATAGCCGCTACAGAGGTCAAACTTCGTGAAAATAGTAGCACCGTGAAGCTGGTCCAACAAGTCATTTAACCGAGGAATCGAAAAGCGATAACGGATCGTTATCTTATTGATTTCCTGGCTGTCCACACACATTCGCCAGGAATCGTCCTTCTTCGGTATCAAAAGTGCCGGTACCGCCACGGGCTCAGACTCCGACGTACCACCCCACGCTGAAGCAGCTCCTCGACCTGTCGTCGTAACTCTTCATGTTCCGTCGAGCTCATCCTATAGTGAGGCCTATTTGGCAAAGATACCCCTGTGACCAAATCGATGTGATGCTGGATGTCACGAAGAGAGAGTAATCCCGACGGGATCTCCTCCGGAAACACATCGGCGAACTCGGACAAGAGAGAACGGACGGCAGCCGGCAGCGTCTGCTCCGCACCTGCATCAACCCCAATCAGCAACAATACCACCGGGAAATCACGCAGCTCTGCTATAAAGGCCGATCGTGAAAGAACAAGAGCTGGTGCCGTGTGACTCAGCAATGGCACGGAACGAGGAGTAGAAGGGAACGAAACAATTTTCACTCCACCAAAAACAAAGGAAAAAGTGTTGAGTCGACCGTCATGAGTTGCCGCCCGATCGTACTACCATGGGCGACCCAACAACAAGTGGCATGCATCCATGGGAACCATATCGCACCACAACTGGTCACGGTAAGTAGCACCAATGGAAAAAGAAACAAGTGCCCGACGGTCAACAGTGACTGTCGTACCTTTCTGTATCCACGCGAGAGTGTATGGTTGCGGATGAGGCTCAGTAGAAAGCTGCAACTTGTCGACTACTTCCTGAGCGATGACATTCTCAGACGAGCCGAATCAATAATAAAACGACACACTTTGTTACCGACTGTGCACGTAAACTTGAATAGATGGTGCCTCTCTACAGGTGTATCACTCGCCCCTTGCGTTACCAAACATGTCCGATGAATGACCAAAGTCGTATCCACATCTCTGCCCACATACTCCTCAACCTCCCCTGGTTCGACATCATACACCGGTGGTCCCCCATAACCTTCGCCGGTGACAACATCCAAGGCCTCCTCCGTAAACAATGCTCGCGTGGCGGTATTCTTCGGATAAACCGCCTGTCGATGGCCAACCTCTCCACAGCCAAAACAGCGGAGGCCAGCCACTGTATGCGAGGCTGTCGGTGACAGCTGCTGTCCGCCACCCCCAACAGCCCGCTGGTATGGCCCGCCAGACCCCAAAAAACGTGCAGGTGCAGCTCCCTGGCCCATTCCACCACCCGTCGCGCCCATGGGCCGTGGCGGGATCGTTGCGGCACTTGCGACTCCAACTGGCTGGGACGACGATCCGACAGCTACACCCGACTTCTGAACCTCAATAAGAATGGCCCGTTGATGGGCATCCGAAACAGAATCTGGGCGAAAAAGGTTCAACGTATCTCGTAACGACGGGCGTAACCTGCTGACATAGCGGGACACCAACTGATTCTTGTTCTCCCGTAACTCCACACGAGTCAGGAGATGATAAAACTCGTTCGTGTATTCTTCCCCGGACGAGATCCCTGTTGCAAGTTCTGCAATTGTTGATACACAAGACTATCGTAATTGTACGGCACGAACTCACGGTCTACATATTTACGAAACTTCATCCAAGATGACAATTCCGGTTTCCCTTGACGATGTCGCAAGCTCGAGAGTTGCATCCACCATGTTGCCGCCCTACCCCGAAAACGAGTGGCGACAAAGCAACCCGCCTATCCTCTGGCACCCCTTTAAACTTGAGGGTAGCCTCAACTGCAGCCCACCACTCAAGAAACTCCGAGCCGTCCACCCCACCTGCAAACTCCAGAATCTCTACACGAAACCATTGTTCCCAACGTCACTCATCGCCCTTTTCTATAGGGCGCCTGCCATCACGTCGGTCCTGTCACCTACGTTCAAACCCCGTACGGTCGCCGTTTGCTGTCCGCGGCTGAAAGTCACCATCGCGACCTCCCCAGCCCCGCCGGAACAGCCCCTCATCATCTCCGATTCCGCACCCCCACGCGGCGGCGCACGTTCGCGGCGCTCCATCTCTCCGCCATGGCTGCCCACCATCCGCTATTGAAGCCACTCTCACCATCGTCCTCCCAGGACTCATCTCTACGGCGATTCCTCTCTTCACGTACTCGCCGCTCGTCGCCTCCAAACCCTCGCGGAACACGACCTCCACCGCGAATGGGTCTGCGGTGCTGCTCCGGTGCAAATGGGTTCTCCAGGCTCACCGTGTCTTCCTCGTCCTCCTTGCTGGACATAGGCGGTAGTGAACGCCGGCGGGGCGCCCCGCCGAAGCAGCGTCCTCTGCGTAACCCTCCGCGCGCGGTCCGATCCCCGACGTCGCGGTTCGTACGAACTTCTTCCATCATGGTACGCATAGCCTGCTGCAACTCCTCCATCCCGGTTGAGAGGTCCGTGAAACGATCATCCATCCCTTGAAATCGGGTATCCATCCTCTGGAAACGTTCTTCAATGATGTCGTCGTTGACGGCGTTTCCTCTCTTCGGCGGCATCGTGGATCGTCGCTGGTCTCTAGATACCAACTGATGTAGTGCGTTGTACAATTGGGAAGAATATGAGATACTCTCTCGAAAGAATGAACGACAATTTTATTTCAATTCACAATAATCTGCCCCCTCCATCGTTCATACATTAGATAAATAAAAAAAAGAAAAAATAGATAAACCTAATCTTGCCCAACCCCTGCAAGATATTTATTTTCCTACCAAATTTACTAAATAGCTAAAGGAAATAAAATAAACGAGTAACTCGGAGTCGGTCATATTTATTTAAATACGCGATGGCGGTCTCGTCTTCATCACTTGGACCATCCAAGGACCATTCCTTGATATGTACACCTTGCCTTCATTGTGCTTCCGTTGACCTTCGGATCTGTTCGTCATATCAACTTACCTGGTCCAGTAGGCTGATTTCGCGCGTCTAGCTGGCCCAGTATGATATTTCATATCACAAACCAACTCAAACTAAACTAGTAAAGGAGGAAAGTAATCGCGGAAAGCACATCAATGTTCTCCCTCCATAGCCAAAGATCTACGAGTACTAAAACTAACAGGAAGAAAGAAAACACACAAGAACTAAACTTGTTCTTCAAAGCAACAATGTCATCAAGTACACAGCTAAAAAAAAACACTAAATGTCCATTTAGCTTGTAGTTTCTGCCTTTGTACTAAAAATCGGCCTAGGCAGCCGCCTAGGCGCTGCCCAGCCACCTCCGATTTGCATAAATCGGCTGAAAATCTGTTACGCGCCTAGGCGGGCCCATGAAGATCGTGTATCTCAATAACTTGGTTTGCTTCGGAAGTTGCTTGTCAGGCTTCCTTCTCGGCGATAGGTTGTGGACGACTCAGATTTTTCTTATCTTCTCACGATTTTGAGATAGCTCGGACATGATATCCTTGCAAAACTCAAGCTTATGACGAACTATGCAGTGAAATGGACTTTTTGACACAAGGATTTTGGGACAAAAACTCAAGAATTCTAACACAAGGAATTAGTGACCAAAGGTAGATTTTCTATTAAGTTTAATCCATGAAAAACTTGAACAGATGACAAGGTATTTAAAGAGATAAACTAAATCTAAACCGATGAGAACTAGAGTTCTAACTTTTTTTTTTCCAACGGCATAATCACTCATGTATAACCAAAATAAATGGAATGTATATAGGCACAACCCGAATCCGCAATAACTGAGAGGCCAAGTACCAACAGTACTGCCTAACCGAGACTACCAATTACAAATGACACAATCCATAATGGGATCAAACAGCTATAGCCACGTCAAAATACAACAAGCCAAACTAAACATCACAAATATATAAAGAGAGAGACACCACTGACTCGAGACCTAGTGCAACCTCTTCTACATCTGTCAAGTCTTTGACCTGCTATGAGAAAAATCAAACCAGTCCTCCATAGCTGTTCTGACAATCCGTATCTCAGACTGCCATTGCTTCTCAAACACCCAAAGGTTTCTAGCCCGCCACAGCCAACAAAGTATATAGGTAGACAGTTGGATTCTATCTTCACAAGTGTCCTGCTTCTTCATTGTGCTAATCCACCACCACCATTCCTTGAAGTTCACATGTTCTTGGTGTACTCTTTTCCACTTGTGCATCCACTAACAATCTCACCCAGGTTGCGAGTTCCCTCCTTGCAGTCGCGAGTTCCTTCCTTTCCTGCGAACGTATTCGCTCAACACGCAAGTTGGTCTCAGGTCTCAAGGGCACGCCTGTGCACCCGTGTCTCTGTGCGGTCTTCCCGAATCGTCTAAACGCTGGTAGCGCGATATTGGGCGTGTGTCTGCCTGTGTGCGCAGTCTCACCGGATCTCTACGAAGTCTATGCAGTCTTGTCGGGTCTCTACGAGGCCCGATGCTGCCGCGTGGGTCTTGATCCTGATGACCCGTGTGTTGTTTCATACAAGCTCGCACTCGTTTCTTAGCCCATGCGTGGGTTGTTTTAGGCCTTCCCGAGGTCTTCTCGGGATGTCTTGGCCCTCGACCCTCGGCGTCCTTGAGGTCAAAACCTCCATTCTCATCATTCCCGCCCCCTTTGAGAATGTCATTGTCCTCAAGGACTCGTCAATTAGCACCAATCGTGGTATCTCCTCATTCACCTTGACCTGCATGTGCGTCACTTCTTCAAGGCCCTCCTCGACCACCTCCAAAAATTCCTCCTTGACTTTTCCTACTTCGGTCTCATCAAAACAAACATCGAAAATAGGTGGCTCTTCATAATCCATCAACTCCTCCAAGTACTTGGTGACCTTCGCGTCCTCAAAATATCCCGAAAATTCAAACGAGAAGGTGGACTTATTGTCGAAAAATCCCAGAAACTCAAACAGAAAAACGACTCTCCTTAAAAAAAACCTGGGAATTCAAACGGGAATGTGGGTTCCTCGTAGAAAAATCGTAGAAATTCGAATGGAAAAGGGTATCCCCCGCGTTGTTCTTCAGCTATTGAGTAGAATCCCAAAAATTCGAATGGAAAAGAGTATCTTCCGCTCTGTTTTTTGTTAGCCCTGTTAGTGTTATATACTGAAAGCTTGCTTTGGATGATATTACACTTTTACCCTTTATGAATGAGAATCATGTTAGATTAAACAAGTTCTATGTTCTAATGTTTTGCACTTAGATAGAATGGGTCGTCATCGGGCGAACAGAAGATCATTCTATCAGTTACTTGCGAAACAAGAATTATAGTTCACAACCTAGATGGAAATGAACTCTCCATCTGAACGGTTGTAGTGTCAACAGTACAGGTGGTCTTGACTGATTAGTTGCACTAGTACATTTATGTATTGAACAGGATCCCAGAGAGGAGAAGTTCGTGTTATACTGATCGTTGTAAATGAACTAGGCCTCGATTAATTACTGCGTTCTCTTAACCCATAAGATATTAAACAGGCATATACATGCAGTACATATTACTTTGACTCACTTGGGTGAAGTTCAGTTCACTGGATTAATATTCCTACTGTCTTGGGTAATATTGTTGTATGTATGATGTGTTGTTTGACCGCATGTGCATTAGTTTGATGATGTCCCCGAAGTGAGTTCATGAAGAATTGTTATGCTAAACCCTGCAGGTGGATTAAGTTCCGGCATAATAATAATGTGATGAACGAGCGCTAGCTTCAGTAAAATAATAATATATTAATTAATTCTTGATTGTTAGTAATCAAATTAATTAATGGACATTATATCTTAAACATGGGAAGGTAAATCGGGTAATTATAATTGGAGTCTCAAATGTAATTTGGGCTAGAAAAAAAGAGTGCAATAATATTACGGTAGTGGACCGTAATATTATTTAAGTAATTGGAAGAGTGGGCCTGGCCTACAGTTAGTCCATTACTTAAGAAGCCCTATTCCTAATCTCCAAAAGGTCCCTACTGTAGCTGTATATATACATCATTAAGCTGATGAGAAGAGAACAGATATTCACATCTCACGTGAATTCGGGTGCCCCCCATCTCTCTCTAGATCTCATTCGAGCTTTATCTTCTTCTCGTTGCTCCACCGGTACGAGTTGAAGAGGTGTGTGAGTAATACAGTAGAAGATCAAAAGGTAATTAAGACCCAGTAATCATCTATAGAAGTCGATGAATCTCAACCCAAAGGTCAATATCCGCCGACCCGACCCGCTGTCCGACACTGTGAAGCAGCCGGACGATCGCCGACCAGCTGGAGCCGAAGCCGATCGTGACACGGCCGACACCCGACCCGCGACAACCGGCGACGTGACCCACACGGCCCAGACGACCGATCGCGACACGGCCAACCCGCCATCCGTTCGTGATCTTGACTTGTTTGTGAGCTGTTCCCGGTCATCCCGAATCCGCCAGACTTAGAAAAGTTGTAAGCCGTAAGTTTTCTACGTCAAACCTTTAGATCCGTTGCGCATAGGTTTACGTTTGCTATTGAATTCGTAACTTGTACATAACAAGATCCTCATAGATCCCAATAAGCCCTAAAAAAAACTAAATATTTATTAATTTCTTTGACTATTGAGTAGAATCCAACCTCTGGATTTTCAGAAGATCTACCTCATTAAAATATGTCTTATAATTTCAAATGACATCTCTTGACCGAAAATTGGATATGTTATATATATATATATATATATATATATATATATATATAT